TTCATCTCCTTAGCTCCATAGTGTAGTCCCACAAATGACAGCTGTAATTCTTCTCTCCTTCTGAGGTAGATGGTATTTCCAAAGGTGGTGGCAACAGTATCTCCCATCCCACATACTGTAGAGTGGGACCATGATGGTACCTCATCAAGAGGAGGGGTGTGTTGATCTGACTGGGAAGCTGGGCTAGCTCTCAATGACATATTTTTGCCAAAAGAATATAGCAGAAGTGATGCAACAAAAACTTTCCAAGATTGGCCTTAGAGATCTCCAGCACCTACTTTGACTCCTGGGAAAGTCCCCCCAACCCTTCCACCCTCTGTCTTCCCACACACCACTATGTAAGAGTCCAAATCCTCTGAGGGCACTACACTGTGAGGAAGCTCAGTGCAGCCGCATGCAGGAAAGAGAACATACGAGGGAGTATTGATGTGCCAGCAATGTGGGTGTCACCTTCTGGCATCTTCCATCCCAACTCACTGACCAATGGAAGACAGCTGAGTAAATAATTCTAGCGTAAGAACTTCCCTGCTGAGCTCTGTGATTTCCTCATATGTAGAACTGTGAACAAATAAAATGATTGATTTTTTTCTAATTCCCTAAGTTTTATGTACCAAAGATAAGTTGAACACCTGTCTTCAGTTTCCAGTCCCCAGTATTCTGTCTTGTTTCCTCTCTGGGACTGTTGGACAGGAGCTCCTTTCTTGGTCTTCACCTGTTTTCTACCTTGATGCTCATCTTCCTCCTCAGAGGTAGAAACATCCCTTCTATCGAGATGTTCTAACCTGTGATCTTGGTTTTCCTAGGCCTCCTGATTATTCAAAATTTGGCTACTGCTCTCTGCTGAAATCACACTCTCAGAATCTTGTTAATTTCCTCTAGCTGTCAGCCCCTACAAGTCTGTTCTGTATTCTCCTTCTCTCTGACATCCTTGTAGTCCAGATGCTGCCACCACTCACTGAGCTGCACACACCCACCTCCTTCACCCCATCTCTGTGGCTGGTGTCTGAGTAACCTTCCTGAGAGATGAGTCCGTTTCATTTTCCTAGCCAAAGACTTGTTATAGGAGTGTGAGTGCCGTTCTTCCTTTGCGCCTGAGGGAGTGACCATGAGGGCTCTATTCTCTGCTGGTCCTGGCTTAAGAAGAAGCTAAACATTTCTGGGGGATTGGTTTCTGGATTTCTGTTGACCACATGTTGGCTTTTTGGGAGACTGCGGCCCAGTGAAGGGGAGAGGCTGGAGGAGAGTACTTGATGTTGGAGAGAGGCTTCCTGAGTCTGTGAGAGGGGAGTGGGGTTTGGGAGTCTCCATCAGGTGGCAGATAGCCGCTTGAACTCTGTCCTGGAGGCAGATGGAACCTGAAATGAGGGTCATTTCAGAGTGTCCAGGGGATTGACCAATACCATGGTTCTCTTTTGTGGAAGTTCGGGGAGGGTCCCAGTGCCACTCTAGTCCAGAGATCTTGCTTTACTGGAAGCTTCATGAAGGGGGTCCCATCTGCTTTTCTCTACCTGTTGTATTCCCAGCACCTGCTCTACTGTCTGAGCCGTAGTGGGTGCACAAAAAAGTGTCGTATCAGTAAGATGGAGCCCCATCTTGGGACAGATGGTGATGAATAGAACTTGTTAGTGGCATCAAGTGTCCAGAGACGGTCAGAGGCCACAAGCTCCACTTAGGGTCGATGGGTGAGTCCTCAGGGCTCTGTTGTGACACAGAGCAGGATGCCCCAGAGTGACTGAGACACAGTTTCCTAGCAACCTGCTCAAGAGACACTGAGCCAGATCTCATAGGATTTGGAACAGTTAAAAGATGGTAAAGACCAGCATTCAAATTCTTACTATGTGCCTGATTTCACATATTCTCAGCATTTTAAATGATTTTCATATATTGAATAATTTAATCCTTGCAACAGTTCTATGACATAGACACACTTACTGGTATTCTCTCTTTCTCTCTCTTTTTGAACAAATGAGTGAACAGAAGCACAAAAAGACTAAGTAATTTATCTGAGGTTCCAGTCAGAATGTGAACCCACGCACTTGCTTCAGAGCTTGACTTAAATGAAGTAACAGTTAAGATGTGATATTTCTGTTCCCAGGGATTCCTGAAGCAAATTCATACTGATTATGCCCATTTCTCTGGTAATTATCTAAATAATGTTTTATATATATATATATATATATATATGCACATGTATAAGTTATATACAAAATAATTTACTAATAGAATAAAATCTGACAGAATAGATTAAGGTTAGCAATAGAGATATTTTAAAGTCACAGGGTATGACAGCATGAAATGGTCTATGCTTTTCCTGCCACCAAAATAATACATAGCCACTAGCTCCCTAACTATTACCTATTATGGACCAAAACAATTCCTGAAAGATAGCATTGGTAATGTACTCATACCCTGAATTTATCCAGCATTGACAATGTACTGGAACTGTCTAGGGCAAGTGCTGTTATCCTTATGGTAGAGAAGAGGGAAAAGCAAAAGGAAATGGTTTGCCTAAGGTGACCTTGAGCTGTCTCCCTCCAGACCTTATGAGTCTAACCACTACTCTACATTGAGTCTTTTGTCAAATCGGGTTGAAAGGTCTGTGTTTTCAACAGAAACATGCATTTTTGGATTGTTTGGAAGGGAGTCAGTTATTTCAGGAACAAACCTTTAAAAACCTGTGAAGAACCTTCAGCATATTTTTGCGCCTTTTATAGTTACAATAAGCAGTTAAAATTCTGATAGAACGTCACATATCTCCCTGTGTCCCTTGCCCCCACAGAACAAAGTCCGTTTTCTCTGGGCAGTGGTTTATTATCTGCTAAGGCTCTGTAACTGAGTGCTAATGGATTTGGCTGTTGGAACTTTGTCTTTGTAAATCCTCCCTAATGGGTCTTAATTTCATTAAATTTTAGCTTGATGGTCACTGAACGCAGCCTCCAAATTAGCCAACACTTTAACATTTCCTTTTTGCCCACTAAGCGAAGGTAATTCTTAGAACAACAAGTATTATGTTGCTGTCGTTGAAAATACTCAAAGGAAACTGAGTTGGAAGGGCTAGCTGAGAGTTTAGTGCCCCTAGGATCTGCGGGCTCCCTGGGTCCTCCCCATTAGGGAAGTGTCTCTGGCAGCCTCTTGGATGGGGAGCTTATCTTAACCCTTGCGTTCCAGTGCAGTGTGGTGGCAAAGAACAGAGCTCAGAACAGATGCTTTGGAACCAGACAGATGGCAGTTTCAGTACCTGCTTGACTTCCTACCAGCTGTGCAACTTATGTGATTTGCTCCTCTTCTCTGGACCTTGGTTCCTTCATCAGTAAAATGGCGGAGACAGGGCAGGGTTGCATGAGAATGCAGCATGCATGTGAAGAGCAGGGATATTGTCCCTTCCATCTTCTCCGTTTTTCTGTCAAGCCCTGATTCCTCTCCCCTTGTCCTCTGCTGTAACCCTTCCCCCTCTACTGTGGTCCCAACTCTCCTCTGGGATGTTTAGAGCTCTGTGCTGCCCCATCCTACCATGAAGCCCTCCAGGCTCCCAAATGACATATAATTCCCTCTCTCACCTAAATTAAGTCTCTGTTAGTGTAGTTGAGGAATCAGAGTCCCTTGTCCTGTGGTTGGAAAAGCAGCATCTCAGAGAAGCAGATAGACTGAATTAATTGCAAAACCCTGTTGTATACCTCCAAAATGGTAGTCACACAGGTTCCTTCTTTGAGCATAGCTGTGTCCTATAATTACTCATCCTTCTTCCTGGACTACTCCGCTCATTTTAGCTACTTCCCTTTCCTGTATATACCATCAAACTTTGCTACTTTTGACCTCTTTCACTGAAGTGAGACTACCTGTAGTCATGACACACCACAAGTGTGGTCACAGATGTATATAAAGTTCTATGTCACACAAGAGTCTTAGAAATCAAAAGGAGAGTATTACGGCTCCAGTGTGGAAATGCTAGAGGATACTGAAGGGGTGGTGTGTGGAGCCTTGGGAGTGGGATTGTGATTCACATAGAAAAATGCTCATCTACCTGGTAATCAGAAGAAGGCATTTTGCAATAGGCATAAGAAAATATTTTACAATTATTAAATCAGGGCAACAATATTAATAGTTCCAAATATTTGAAAAGTACCGAGGAAACTAGTTCAGTTGAATACCATTGACTGTACTGAAAACCAGTATGGCTCTTTGGGAAAATAATTTTGCAGTGCGTTTGTAGAAGCATAGCAGATATTTATGTTTTTTGATCCAATTTAAGGAAACAATTGAAAAGAAGAAAAGAGAGCTGTATATGTGGAGATAATAGTTTCACGTAAATATGTTGAAAAAGTCAATGTTCAGTAGTAGAGAAAATAGAAACTATAGGATATACATTTTATGCGAGCATAAAAACAGTAATTATTGAAAACATAGAAAATGTTCACATTCAAATGCTTGGTGAATCACATCACAAAATTATTTGCCCTATAGCTATAAAGTATGTAAATACATATCTGCATTTGGGAAAGAATTGGAAGACCGTTAAGAAAACAAATGATGTAGGGGGCATAGGATTGAACATTATTGTTTTTCTTTAAAATATTTTCCTTATCTTTATAATGTTGGTTGTGCAGGATAATTAGAAATACAAACTGCCCAGACCCCTGGAACAGCCCTTGACGTTTTGCAGTGACAGCCTCATGCCTCAGTGCTCTGGGCTGGCCCAGCCTTCCTAGCCAGCCCCCCCCTCTCTACCTCAAGCTTCGGCTTGCTCACGTCCTGTTGTCCCCTCCCCTTCAGGCTCCTCTCTGCCCACATACCCACTCCCAGACCAACTGAACGTGCCCTGTGCCCTCTGTATTCTCCCTTTTCACCTGAGCTCTCAGAGGTTACCCCCTCCTCCATGAAGACCTCCCAGGCCATTTGTGTCTGAATTAATCTTTGTTTACTTGCTTGATAAAGAGTGGGATTCAAGCTCCTGAGCAGCAGGGCCTGGGTCTGAGTTTGTCTTGTCTGTATGTTACCCACAGATTTAGCGGGGAATAGGTGGTACATGGCTATCCTGTCCTTCAAGCCTGCTCTAGCTGGTAACACCGACGAGGAGAGGAGAAAGCAAAACAGCACATGGGCTTCCTGTGGAATAGTAAGTGTACATGACTAATTAATTAGTAATAAGTATTACTCAAATACACAAGTATTTGAACAAGGTCTTGGAAAATAGAATTAAAAGATGTTTATGTTGGTGCAGAAAATTTTTGAAATCCATGTCTAGTTTTTTCATAATGCACATTATCATGACCCCCCTTTTTTTTTTGACAGGCAGAGTGGACAGTGAGAGAGAGAGACAGAGAGAAAGGTCTTCCTTTGCCGTTGGTTCACCCTCCAATGGCAGCCCCAGCCAGCGCGCTATGGCCGGCGCACTGCGCTGATCCGATGGCAGGAGCCAGGTACTTATCCTGGTCTCCCATGGGGTGCAGGGCCCAAGGACTTGGGCCATCCTCCACTGCACTCCCGGGCCACAGCAGAGAGCTGGCCTGGAAGAGGGGCAACCGGGACAGAACCGGCGCCCCGACCGGGACTGGAACCCGGTGTGCCGGCGCCGCTAGGTGGAGGATTAGCCTAGTGAGCTGCGGCGCCGGCCTATCATGACCCTTTAAAGACCCCTCTTATGCAGCATTTGCAAAGTTTTAACTATCTTTTAATTGCATTTCCATGAACTTTTTCAAGTACCCCTGTATAAGTATGCTAATAAGTGTGTAATAACTATACAAAGAAAAATTATAACACAGATTACAAATGATAACACTTTTATAGTAAGTATACTTATTAAACAAACTATTATGAGTGTCCTATTAAGTGTGTAATAACTATAAGAAGATTAATTTTAAATTTCTTCTGATGTAATTTGGAGATCAAATTATTACAAGTTAAATGGTATTTTATATTTAAGTGATTTCTTTGTGTTTTTAAGTAAAATAAGGCCATCAGCTATGAACCAAGTTTTCACGGACTCAGTGGTAGTTGTAGGAGTTTAAGAAAGAGACAATGCCTAATCCAGTCATTCACTATGGGATATTTTCCTGTTTATCTCACTTTGATCCTCAAGAGAATTCCGAGTTTCCTTAATAAGCTTTTAGGAATGCATCTCATGTCGTTGAACTTGGGACTTTGTTATATTTCAGAAAAATAAAAACTGGGAGAAAACTCAGGTGTGGTACATTTACTCCTTGAGTCACTTGTTTAACAATTTTTTTGAGAGTCTTCTACTTGTCTAGACCTGCTCTAGGTTGGAAGTGTGTGAGCTACCGCCACAGAGTTCTCTTGCTGAGGGAAACAATGAACAAGTAAACCAAGAGTGGTCTTCATTACAAAGAGGGCTATTGAGGGAGGGAGCAGGATGCTGGCTATGAATGGATAGGGGGTCTGGAGACCCCTGGAATTCTGAGGGGGATATAGTCCTCATAGAGCTGAGAAGAAGGGACCTATCCCTCCCTTGGTTCCAGCACTGGCCAGGAGCAAGAGTGTTTGAGGAAAGAGAGGCTAGTGGTGTGGCTGGAGGTCAGGGAGCAGGAGAGAGTTGTGAGGCAAGGTAGAGAGGAGGACAGCAGCAGGCCGGGCAGAACCATGTGGGCTCCAGTTAATGGTTGGACTAGAAGTGCTTTAGGGGCAAGAAGGCGTTAGTGCTCTGCCAGGATCCCCCTTACTAGGAAAGTGTGTCCATCCCTAGCTGCTAGGGCTATTGGCTATTGAAGTTCATAGGCACACCCTTCTCCAGAAATTCCTCCCAGCCTGTGAACCTGCTGGACCCAGAAATGGCTAGGATGGCTACCCTCCCCTTGGGGGTAGACTGCAGCTAATGACTGACAGATACAGGTGTACAAAGGTTATTCCCCAGCCTTCATCTGGAACAACTCTGTGGTGCTACTCACATTCCAAGGCTTCTCGTGAAGTCGAGTTGATCCTGGACTTCCTGGAGACCACGTCTGAGCTTAGCTGCTGCTTCTGGCCCATCCTGGTTCTGCACCTGTTTTGCAGGTTTCTCCTGAGATCCCACTTTTCGTAAGGCACTAGCTGGAGAACTCTTGTCTCAGGCTGTGCTTATAGTACTGAGAGCTGATAGGCTATGAGCTTCCCGAGGACAGTGACTATGCCTGGCTTGTTCATCCATAGGTGGAGGATTTCAGTGGGGGCGTGACATGATCTGATTATTTAAAAAATTCTCTGACTGTTGCCTGTGTGCTTTTATATGTGGGCAAGGAGGATGAGGGGGAGGAGAGAGAAGAGGTAGATAGACCAGTTACATTGTATTGGAATCAAGATATGACTGTCTTGGTTTCACAAATTAAAGCATCTCTATTAAGCAAAAATTTTCATTTGCAGTTAAACTTACAAAGCTCCCCTTCCATCAAGAAAATTTGCAAGTAATTTTAAGCAGGTGAATGTTAATAAAAGAATAATGTATTGTAGTACAAAATGAGAGGAATATATGAAAGATCAAATGCTCATTAAAACTCTGAATCTATATATGAACATTTACCATAGAAATAATGAGACAGAAATGTGTAGTGGATCTTTAGCTTAACTTATTGGAGTTAGTCACTGGGCCCTGGGGGAGACTGTAATTTATATATATATATATATATATATTTTTTTTTTGACAGAGTGGACAGTGAGAGAGCGAGACAGAGAGAAAGGTCTTCCTTTTTTCCGTTGGTTCACCCCCCAATGGCTGCTGCAGCTGGCGCACCGCGCTGATCCGAAGCCAGGAGCCACGTGTTTTTCCTGGTCTCCCATGCGGGTTCAGGGCCCAAGGACTTGGGCCATCCTCCACTGCCTTCCCGGGCCACAGCAGAGAGCTGGACTGGAAGAGGAACAACCAGGACAGAATCCGGCACCCTGACTGGGACTAGAACCCGGGGTGCCAGTGCCGCAGGCGGAGGATTAGCCTAGTGAGCCACGGCACTGGCGGGAGACCGTAATTTCCAAGATCTGTTTGACTCTGGGATAAAAGTGACAATTTGAAAATGGCTCTTGTTATTCTGTGCATTCGGGGTTGTAAATGGGATCTGATCTGTGTCAGTTTCTCAGGGGGACAGGGAAGTTTATGTTCCTCACTCAGATGCTCCTCAAACTCCTCCCTACTTGTTAACCCCTGCAACAGAATTTAATAATAGTCAGGCTCTGACTGTTCTAACAAATGCAGCACATGAGGAATATGATGGTAGTTACACAGCTAAGGCTTCCAGGGAACATGATAACCAAGAAGAAGAAAAATGCACTGAATATTTATCCTTTTGTGAAAATATTAATGTATTGAAAGAGGTGAACCAAAAGCAGCAAAATGACCAAAAAGGCGGTTGGGTTCTGCTGTGCTGTGACAGTCCTTGTTTGGAGGATCTGAAATCTCTTTTGCAAATCTGCATCAGAGAAAGTCTTGCCAGACAATGTGCAGCTTGCCTGAGGGCCTGAGGACACTGTAGGCACTCTGCTTTCCCCCAGCTTAGAGTGAGCGGGACTGGGTGGGGGGAAGGGGCTAGCCCTCATTAGTGAGTAGAGGGAGCACCCCTGAGACCCACTGTGGAGCCTGGGTAATCTGAGCCCCCTCCTCAGGGGAAAGGTGCTGCTGCTTCCCCTCTCAGTATACGGGTCCTCCTGGAACGAATGCACAGAGCTCCTGCCACCTTCCAGGGGCTCCATCTTTTGTAGAAAACCAGAACCACGGGAAAGCCTCTAACACACACTGAGTTGCCGTGATGCCTTCCAGACAAACTGCACTGGAAACTGAGTGGGGCACAGGCATTGGTGATTTCTACCAGGCTTGCAAGCTTCCATTAGAAGTTGGAGAATCACCATCTACAAAGATCCAGCACGATTTTGGTAACTGTAGTCGGTGTCCTCATTAGGGCACAGGCCCTGAGAAAGCAACCCAGAGGTCTCAGTAGGGGGTGATTTTGCAAACCCCTTCCTTGTCCCCAAGGCATTAGAGACAATGTCTCTGGAGCAGTTTTGATTGATCCTAGCTGGGAACAGGGTCTTGCTGGGTGGGGCCAAGGATGTTACTAAACAGTCTGTGATGCACAGGACAGTTCTCACAGCAGTTACCTGGCTGATGCTGGCAAGTGCTGATTTAGCTGTAAAAGTAGTTCTGCATGCAAAATGGCACACAGCTTCCTATAGCTGATTTGTTGTACACTTACCACATTCTAAGTACATTAAATGTGATAATAAACACTGACTATTGTTTATCATTTATTCCCATTATGTGGATGAGCAAATTAGGCCTAAAAGTTATAAGTAATTTGCAGAAGTTAGATAATTTATGTAAAGCCACGTGTCTAGTAAGTGAAAGATTGGGACTTGAATCAGGCTCTTGGCCACCGCACTATACTGCTGCCCAGAAGGGTCTTGGGGTCTTTTCGTGGCAGAAAAGGGATCCCAGTTCATGCTTAGCACTCAGATTATTCCTTCTCTTCTAAAGAGTGGCTGCTTGAGCAGAACAAAACCTCCTCATGCCAAAGAGAGCCTTTCTGAGCCAGAGAGTAATGGACGTTGATCAGTTTTGTGGCCAAGGTGGAGCTACAGAAGTACTAAGAGGGATTTCCAAAGAGGATGATGAAGGATGCTTTCAATACAAGAAGATTCCAGTAGTGTTTGGCAGCTTGTGGGCACCACGCAGTGCAGTTTGGGGTAGTGCCTGGCCAGCCAGACTGTGTTTGTGACAACTCTGATCTTCCTAACTCAGAGCATCTGTTAGAGCGATGCCTCGGCAGGAAAACACAGTGGGAGAACGGCTGCTCAGAGCATGTGAGCGTCTGACAGGCCCGCAGTTGTCCTCCAGAAAGCCCTGATGTCCCCAGGTCCCCTTTGCTCACTGGCCCTGCCTGTGCCTTGTGCAGACAGAGGAAATGAGAGTACCCAGCAGAGGGCATTCACCCTCTCTCGGGTGTTCCTCCCTATGGTCACCGCATCAGGGAGAGACTACCAACCGGGGTTGCACCCACTGCTGAGCGTCATTGTCTCTCTGAGCACACAGGTCAGAGGCTCTACAGAATTGGAGCAGGGTCCATGGTACCCATGAGGCCCTTGTAAGCCCACACATCAAGCAGGGCATATCTGCAAAACACAGGCTGGCTTCTAGCCATA